ATAACACAAATTTCTATGTGAATTTGGTCAGGTCACTCAAAAAGTTACATATTGCAGCTAGCTAGCGAATGCAGCTAGCTAGTTTAGCCTACTCAAACACCCGGCTCAAACAGAGAGGGATGCTATGTTTGCTAACTGGCTATGGCTATCCAACACTTGAACTCTTCCAAGTCAAGGTAATTTTATTAATATATTGCCACTGGGGCTTGGAGGTGTAACTGCTAAACTGCTTGCTGTACACTATACTGCATGATTGTAGCGGGTTTATTACGTGTTAGTTCTAATAGCTATGTTGACTATGACGTTAACTAATATGTAGTGGTTAGCAGTTATGATATAAAGGTTTGGATTGGAAAGGTTTTTTCGCCTGGTCACAGAATAGAGCGTAGATGCGAGAAGGAATTACAGTGAGGGAAAAAAGTATTTGATCCCCTGTTGATTTTGTACGTTTGCCCACTGACAAAGAAATGATCAGTCTATAATTTTAATGGTAGGTTTATTTGAACAGTGAGAGACAGAATAACAACAAAAAAATCCAGAAATACGCATGTCAAAAATGTTATGAATTGATTTGCATTTTAATGAGGGAAATAAGTATTTGACCCCCTCTCAATCAGAAAGATTTCTGGCTCCCAGGTGTCTTTTATACAGGTAACGAGCTGAGATTATGAGCACACTCTTAAAGGGAGTGCTCCTAATCTCAGCTTGTTACCTGCATAAAAGACACCTGTCCACAGAAGCAAGCAATCAGATTCCAAACTCTCCACCATGGCCAAGACCAAAGAGCTCTCCAAGGATGTCAGGGACAAGATTGTAGACCTACACAAGGCTGGAATGGGCTAGGGAAGAAGAAACACAAAATAACTGTCAATCTCCCTCGGCCTGGGGCTCCATGCAAGATCTCACCTCGTGGAGTTGCAATGATCATGAGAACGGTGAGGAATCAGCCCAGAACTACACGGGAGGATCTTTTCAATGATCTCAAGGCAGCTGGGACAATAGTCACCAAGAAAACAATTGGTAACACACTACGCCGTGAAGGACTGAAATCCTGCAGCGCCCGCAAGGTCCCCCTGCTCAAGAAAGCACAGGCCCGTCTGAAGTTTGCCAATGAACATCTGAATGATTCTGAGGAGAACTGGGTGAAAGTGTTGTGGTCAGATGAGACCAAAATCGAGCTCTTTGGTATCAACTCAACTCGCCGTGTTTGGAGGAGGAGGAATGCTGCCTATGATCCCAAGAACACCATCCCCACCGTCAAACATGGAGGTGGAAACATTATGCTTTGGGGGTGTTTTTCTGCTAAGGGAACAGGACAACTTCACAGCATCAAAGGGACGATGGACAGGGCCATGTACCGTCAAATCTTGGGTGAGAACCTCCTTCCCTCAGCCAGGGCATTGAAAATGGGTCATGGATGGGTATTCCAGCATGACAATGACCCAAAACACACGGCCAAGGCAACAAAGGAGTGGCTCAAGAAGAAGCACATTAAGGTCCTGGAGTGGCCTAGCCAGTCTCCAGACCTTAATCCCATAGAAAATCTGTGGAGGGAGCTGAAGGTTCGAGTTGCCAAACGTCAGCCTCGAAACCTTAATGACTTGGAGAAGATCTGCAAAGAGGAGTGGGACAAAATCCCTCCTGAGATGTGTTTAAACCTGGTGGCCAACTACAAGAAACGTCTTACCTCTGTGATTGCCAACAAGGTTTTTCCCACCAAGTACTAAGTCATGTTTTGCAGAGGGGTCAAATACTTATTTCCCTCATTACAGTTTTTCTCGATTGTTTACACACATTTTCTGAAAGCATGCCTCATATTCTCAGAACTCTACACACAAATCAAAAAACACACACACAATGGGCAAAACCCCTCAATTCTCCAGCAAAATGAAACTTTACATTCAAAACAATGTTATTTCTTATCAAAATGGTATTTTGTTTTCAAATGACACACACAAACCATCATATGAATATGCATTTATAAGAACCAGTTGAACACTGATGTGCTCAATGTAAAACACTATGATGAATGGAAAACACTTCTTCTCCATTCATCATAATGACTTAGGCCTTTTTTTGGTTCAGTGTTGCCATTACTACAGACAGTACATACATAAGTGTGTTGTAAAATATTTGAGAATATTGTTTTTATACTCAGAACACACAAATACACTGTAAAAAATATATTTCATTTTTCCCACAAAAACAATGTACACAGTGTACATCCCATTCCCAACCAACACAAAGTTGCACATACAGTGGTCTACATACAAAACAGAAGAATTGAATGTATACAGTTACAGTAAAAAAATAAATAAATATATATATATATAAAAAATTAACTATGCTGCATCCTCTCTTCTGTTGCGGTCTAGCCACAGCACCTCATCCACATCACAAGCTATGTTTTCCCTGGCCAAGCAGCGGGGGAAATATTGCCTAGCATGGAGATTCCAGCCATGAAAAGCTGCTATATCTCCACATGCGTCTTCCATAGCTTGGAGAAGAGGTATACGCGTTTGTGGATTTCGGTCAAACACTTTCCATCTCCAGGCAGAAAATAATTCCTCAATAGGATTGAGGAATGGAGAATATGGAGGGAGATAAACAACTAAAAAGCGTGGGTGGGCAGTGAACCAGTTACGAACCAGAGCAGCCCTGTGGAAACTTACGTTGTCCCAAATGACAACTTACCTGAGCTGCTCTGGGCCATCTACCTGATCTGGTGGAATGAGTGTGTTGTGTAGGGTGTCCAGGAATGTGATCAGATGGGCGGTGTTGTAGGGGCCAAGGGTAGCATGGTGATGGATGACGCCGTGGTGGGTAATCGCTGCACACATTGTGATGTTCCCTCCGCGCTGGCCAGGGACTTGAACAATGGCACGCTGGCCGATGATATTCCTTCCCCTCTTTCGTCTTTTTGTGAGGTTGAATCCATCCTCATCAATGAAGATGAACTGGTGCTCCACTGCAGCCACCTCTAGCTCAAGGACTCTCTGAAACACACATGACAATATCAGAAATAGACATGGAGTGGTCACTATTGTGAAGCACAATCATTATGATTACAATACTGAAATATGTATAATTTATACAGTGTTGAGAGTATGCATCAATTGTGGGATTGTATAGGACTCACTTGCACATAGTTATATCGCAATTCTTTGACTCTTTCTGAATTGCGTTCAAATGGCACCCTGTAGACCTGCTTCATCCTGAGATTATTTCTGCGCAAGACACGGTCCAGTGTTGATAAGCTTACCCTATCAATATTTTGAAATATCTCATTGTTTTCCATTATTTTTCTTTGTATTTGCCATAATGTTATGGCGTTATTTTCTAGGACCATGTTCATGATTTCAGTTTCCTGTTCAGGAGACAGAACACGTTCCCGACCACCTTGTGTTGGTAATGTTTCAGTTCTGCCAAACAAATAGTAAAATGCTGTAAATACAAAGTAGAAATACATTTCCCAAATACTTGAAACATACTTTATTTTTACAGTCCTACAGAACAGTCCACAGGCAATACTGTACTACTGTACTCATTGAGTACTGTATTGATATGCTGTACTGCAATTTTCTAGTGAGAGTAGATTTCTTACCTATTCTCATTTCGGAATGTCCGGATGATGGATGCTACAGTGTACCTGCTCAAATTTGGCTGTACTCTTTGCCCAGCCTCCCTCATTGTTAGACCATGGTTGACCACATGATCAACCAAAGTAGCTCGGATCTCATCAGAGATTACGGTCCTTGGCCTTCCTCGTCCTCGTCCTCGTCCTTGTCCTCCCCGTCCTCCTCCTCTTACTCTCACTCCTCTGGATCTGCCTCCGTTTTTCAAATGTTGGCATCCATTGCTCCAAAACAGAAGAGCTCACCTGTTGCCCTTTTATGCTAAAGCTCTGATTGCTAATTGTAAAACTGTGTGATGGGTGTTTGCCCATATGATGAGTCAGTGTGCATATTTGAATGGCAGTGTGTTCATTGTGAAAACAAGAGATTTTCTGCATGAAAATTGTGCCAAATGCAAAGAATTGTGTGTAGTGTTTTGAGAAAAGTGTGTTGTAGAACTGCAATTTGAGTGTAAAGCAGGAATTGTGCTTGTAGTTTAGCAGAATTGGTTCAGGGGGTTGGTGCATGAGTTACATGTTGTGGTCATTGTGTCTCAAGTACCAGTATTTGTGTGTAAACAATTGAGAAAAACTGTAAAATGCAAATCAATGTATAACATTTTTGACATGAGTTTTTCTGGATTTTTTCTCACTGTTCAAATAAACCTACCATTAAAATTATAGACTGATCATGTCTTTGTCAGTGGGCAAACGTACAAAATCAGCAGGGGATCAAATACTTTTTTCCCTCACTGTATTCAACCAGCAAAGAGATCATGCTGTTTGTATGTGGCTGTTATGAAAGTGAACTGTGTTTGGGGGTGATCAGGGGTGTGTTCATTCTGCCGATTCTGTTTCTTTAACGGAACGAAACGGAGATAAACATACCTGCATTTGTCCAATAGAAACTCTCATTTGCAACTGTTGGACTAATGATTACACCCTAGATCAGCTAGATGCCGGTAAGAATGTGCAAGGTGGTATTGATATGTCATTGTCTGTCACCTTGATTACTCAAATGTTTCTCTCGACCTGCGCCCCTACGTTGTAAACTTTAATTCATAGGCTAGGTTGTAGCAACCTCATGATGGGTATAGGGAAAATTTGAGTATCATGTGGTAGCCTAATCCCATCGATGTTACATTGAGCTGGGTGAAGGGAATATGAACGACAGTCAATCCAATATGCTGTAATAGAAATAAGGCAATGCTCATCAACAACAAAACATTGTCCTCCCTAATCTTAAATGGCACTGACCACCACTGACACACACACAGATTATGGCAGGGTGAGGGGTGATGGGGTCATGTAAATGTTAATAGAGTCTGACAGCTAGTGATTATGAGTAGAGCAGTGATGGGTATGAGACATGCATGGTTTACGGAGTATGGAGGATGGTATGAATGGAGATCGTGTGTGTGTTTTGGTTTTAGTTTTGGGACCAGTCCTATTTTAGGTTTAGGGGTTAGCTTTAGGGTTAGAATTAGGGTTAGGGTTAGGGTTAGGTTTAGGGGTTAGGGAAAATAGGGTTTTGAATGGGAATCAATTGTTTGTTCCCCACAAGGATAGTAAAAAAATGGTGTGTGTGTGTGAGAGAGTGAGAAACTGTGTGTGTGTGTTGGCATGTTTGTTGACTGGTTGTAAATGCTGACAGTGACAGTGTGAGGATAGAAGTGACACAGTAGCACATTCTCAGGGCTCAGACTGCCTGTCTGTGTGTCTGTCTGTCTATCTCTGTGTGTGTGGTGATGCAATGTGTATTCTGCTGTCTACAATACACCACTTAGCAGATGCTTTTATCCAAAGAAATTACAGTACAATGAGTGCCTGCATTTTTAGTAGGCTAACCCAAAAGAGAGAGAGAGAGAAGAGAGAGGAAGAAGAGAGAGGAGAGAGAGAGAGAGAAAGAGGAGAGAGAGCATAGAGAGAGAAGATAGAGAGAGAGAGAGAGAGAGAGATAAAGAGCTAATCTCTATCTCGCTCTCACTCTCTCTCTATATTCTACAGCGCTAGATATCTATCTCTCTCTCGTCTCTCTCTCTCGCCTATCTCTCCCTTCTCGATATATATAGATTAGCTATAGAGAGCGAGCGTTGTGAAGTTATCTACCTTCAGGAATTGAGGAAGTCAAAGAACGCTTCTTGTCTCCTTTTTTCTTCTCCTTTCTTCTAAACTCCCCTCCCTCCCTCCCTCCCGTCCTCCCCCCTCCCTCCTCCCTCCCTCCCTCACCTCCCCTCCCTCCTTTCTCCCTCACCCCCCTCTCTCTCTCCAGAACATGGAGGACCACCTAGCGTTCCTGATCACCGTGCCCACCACCCTCTTCCTCTTCCTCTCCATCTTCATCCTGGTCTGCATAGAGTCTGTCTTCAACCGCATGCTCCGCCTCTTCTCCCTCCTTATATGGGCCTGCCTGGTTGCCATGGGTTACCTCTTCATGTTCTCCGGGGGGATCCTCTGTCCTTGGGACCAGGTGAGGTGGAGGGTGTGCGTGCGTGTCGGGCGTGTGTATTGGGCAGAGTTGTGTGTGCATGTTTGTGTAGAAGAAGACAAATATTGTTCATTAATACTTTATTGTCCATTTGTCTTTAAAGCTTTTTTGCTTTTCAACCCAATCCCTTGAGATACACATTCGAGGATTTGGGACCACAGGGACAGCCACGGTGCATTGCTGCTGGAACTGTTTTTTCAAGGATTGAGTGCCTTGCTCAAGACCACAGTGGCTGGAGATGCCGTCTTTGATTACTGTTCACTACATCAGAACTGGAATTCAAACCCACAACTGTCCTGCTTTTGTGTGTCTGTGTGTGTGTGTCGGTGTCGGTGTGTGAGTGTGTGTCCTGTACATTGAGTGTACGTCATGTGTGATTAAGTGTTAGGCTAAGCCAAAGGAGGTGAGAGAGCAGGAGACAGATACATTACCTTTCAGGCCTATTCACGTTACTCTCCCTCCCTCCTTCTCTCCTTCCTTCCCTATCTCTTTTCCAATTTATTTTTCATTTGATCTTTCTCCCAGTCCACCTGTGTCTCTTTGTCTCTCCTTATTTCTCAAATTCTATTTACTTTATATCCCTCTTCCCCTTTACCTCATCCTCCCAGGTCTCCTTCCATTTCTCCCTCCCTCACCCTCACTCCCCCTCTCCTTCTCGTACCTACTCTCCATCCCTCCTTCCCCTTCTGTTCCTCTCCTCCCTCCTTCTCTCAACCTTGCTCCCCCTTTCCTTTTTCTACATTCTCTCCATCCCTTTCTCCCTCTCCTTCGCTCCCCCTCTCCCTCACCCTCTCCCTTACACCCCTCTCCTTCTCCTACCTTCTCTCCATTTCTCCCTCCCCCTCTGTTTCTCTTCTTCCCTCCCCCTCTCCCTCTGTGCTTCCTTCTCTCCAGAGCCTCCTTTTCCTGTTAGCAGACTACTCATGGAGCGTAGGGCCCCGCGTCCACTAGGGGCCCCCGACCTAAAAGGAACTCAGTCGGATAGTGCATCAGCAGTTTTCCACTTGTTATGTCAGTCACTCAATTAGCCGAGTTCAGCTAAACATTTTTAGGTTGCTAGGTAAGGTAGTCTAGCCAGCTATCTAAACCTTATACTAGGCCTAATCATCACCAAATTACCGACCGGGCACGCAGGGCATGCATTCAGGGGCCCTGACCTCCAGGTTGCCCCCGTTCATTTTGTTAGTCACTCTCACACAAATATTATATAAGTGTGGAATAAGTCATAGCAAAATGTGTAAATTGCTGAAAATTTGCTTTAAAACTGCAAAATGTTCTCTGCCCCATGGCAAAATGTGAATACTGTAGAAAATGGGCTTTAAAACTGCAACACTTTCTCTACACCCCATGGCAAAATGTGTAGAATTCCAGGAAATTAACTTTAAAATACAAAATAAATACAAAAGGGGGGGGCACTAAAATGTTTTGCCTGCGACGTTGTGCCCCCCCCCCCCCCCGACCAAATCTCGCTTAGGGCCCTCAAAAGGCTAGAGGCGGCACTGCCTCTATCCCTCCCTCATACCCCTCTCCTTCTCCTAGCTTCTCTCCCTCACTCTCCCATCATCGTGGTGGAGATATTTTTATCCATCTCTCCATCTGTGAGAGCATAATCATACTGCATTATTAAACAACCTATTCTGCTCAATGACTCTCTCTCCCTCTCTCTCCTTCTCTCCCCTTAAGGAAAAACTATGTTAGACTTTTCACATGAAATCATGTGGTTTTTCTGTAAGGATCTTTCAGCTATTTCATGTCCTCTTTCCTCTCCTCTTTCCCTCCTTCTTTCATTCATTCTCTCTCTCTCTCTCTCTCTCTCTCTCTCTCTCTCTCTCTCTCTCTCTCTCTCTCTCTCTCTCTCTCTCTCTTTTTTCTACCACTCTCTACTTCTCTCTCTTCCTGTCTCCTTCTTCCACAGACACTAATCTCATATTGTTACTCTAGTGGTTAATTCCACATTCTCAGTAGGCAGTTTGAGGAGGAAATGTATTGAAAGGGGAACGAGTGTTCTTTTATGACAGGTAGTTCAGGTATAGAACACCACCCAGGTGTGCTGTGATGATGATGGTAAATGCCTCAGACTATAAGAAGGAGAAAAATGGCTATTTACTGTGAGCCAATCAGCCTGGAGCCAGGAGGAAGTACACTCTCAACCATACTGATGGGACACACTGAGCTAAATAACACTGTCTTCAGCTACTGCTGCGACTACAGTCTGTTCTCAAACAGAGAGAGAGAGTGTGGGGAGGGAGAGACAGAAAGTGAGGGGTGTGGAGAGAGAGAGAGAGAATCTGAAAGTTTAGAACAGGTTATGTTCTGCTTAGTAACAGTCACACACACAATCTGTCACACACATACACACACACACACATACACACACACACACACACACACACACACACACACACACACACACACACACACACACACACACACACACACACACACACACACACACACACACACACACACACACACACACACACACACACACACAGCAGCCCTTTCAGCTGAGGAGTTAGTTGTGTCTGGGCCTGATTGAATCTCCCAGGAGAGAGCAGGTATTAGTGGAAGGCAGATTGGACCAGAACTCCAGACACCTGGTACCATCAAAACAATACAACTCTCCCTCACACTGACCCGGCTGGTTGGCTTGCTCTGGAGCCTACCTCACAGAGGAGAGGAGCTGGAGAGAGGGAAGGAGAGAGAAGGGGTGGGGAGAGAGGAGATGGAGAAAGGGAAAACATTATATAAACTTAGAAAAGTAGACCATCTAACGTTTGACTGTAGCAAATAAAGGATGAGAAAACCAAATGTCAACTATAAAACAACAACAGTAAAACATCCATATCCCTTCTCACATTGCTGTTTGTCATTAAATGGCCATTCAAGAACAGAAACAATGTCAATATCAGCAGAAATGTTGAGCTAGCAGCACCAAAGCTATTTGTTCTTAATTAATGTTTGGGTTGAGGTCAAGGTCAGGGTTGGTGGTAAGAATTGCATCGGTTGTTGGAAAACGGCTTGGCTGGACAGTGTCACTGTCACTTTCAACCTCCAACTTCCCTCTCTTTCAACATCTCTCTCTCTGTGTGTGGGAGAGGTGGAAAGAATATTGTTATCGATCAATAATGACAAACCTCCTGACATTGACAACTTAGATGGAAAGCTACTGAGGATGGTAACTGACTCTACAGCCACTCCTATCTGTCATGTCTTTAATCTGAGCCTAGAGGAAAGTCTTTCCGCTACCCAAGAATGGTAAAGCGGCCTTTATTGGTTCTAACAGCAGACCTATCAGCTTGCTGCCAGCTCTTAGCAAACTGTTGTAAAAATGGTGTTTGACCAAATACAATGCTACTTCTCTGTAAACAAATTAACAACAGACGTTCAGCATGCTTATAGAGAAGGGCACTCAACATGTACTGCATTGACACAAATGACTGATAATTTGTTGAAATAAATTGATAATAAGAAGATTGTGGGAGCTGTACTGTTAGATTTCAGTGCAGCCTTTGATATTATTGACCGTAACCTGTTGTTGAAAAAACGTATGTGTTATGGCTTTTCAACCTCTGACATATTGTGGATTCAGAGCTATCTTTCTAATAGAACTCAGAGGGTTTTCTGTAATGGAAGCTTCTCTAATGTCAAACATGTAAAGTGTGGTGTAATGCAGGGAAGCTCTCTAGGCCCTCTATTCTTTTCTATTTTTTATCAATGACCTGCCACTGGCATTAAACAAAGCATGTGTGTCCATGTATGCTGATGATTCAACCATATATGCATCAGCAACCACAGCTAATGAAGTCACTGAAACCCTTAACAAAGAGTTGCAGTCTGTTTTGGAATGGGTGGCCAGTAGTAAACTGATCCTGAACATCTCTAAAACTAAGAGCATTGTATTTGGTACAAATCATTCCCTAAGTTCTAGACCTCAGCTGAATCTGGTAATGAATGGTGTGGCTGTTGAACAAGTTGAGGAGACTAAATTACTTAGTGTCATCTTAGATTGTAAACTGTCATGGTCAAAACATATAGATTCAATGGTTGTAAAGATGGGGAGAGGTCTGTCCTTAATAAAGAGATGCTCAGCTTTTTTGACACCACACTCCACAAAGCAAGTCCTACAGGCTCTAGTTTTATTTTATCTTGATTATTGTCCAGTCATATGGTCAAGTGCTGCAAAGAAAGACCTAATTAAGCTGCAGTTGGCCCAGAACAGAGTGACACGTCTTGCTGTTCATTGTAATCAGTGGGCTAATATTAATACTATGCATGCCAGTCGGTTTTGGCTAAGAGTTGAGGAGAGACTGCGTCACAATTCCAAATAGTTTGCATAGTCAACTTACACACAGCACTGACATACACACTTACACCACCAGACATGCCATTTTCACAGTCCCCAGGTCCAGAACAAATTCAAGGAAACGTACAGTATTATACAGAGCCATGAGTGCATGGAACACCCTTCCATCTTATATAGCTCAAGTGAACAGAAAACCTGGTTTAAAAAAACAAATAAAGTAACACCTCATGGCACAGCGCTCTCCCCCATGTGACCTACTTGTTGTGTGTATGTACTGACATGTATGTGTAACTGATAGATGCACACACACACACTACATGTTAGTGTTTTTAAATGTATGTATTTAAGTATTTTGTCTGAAATGTATTTTTCGTTATATGTCAGACCCCAATAAGATTAGCTGGCGCCATTGGCATCGGCTAATGGGATTCCAAGTAAATCAAATCAAATCTCTCTGCACAATATCTTTCTATATCTCTCTTTCAACATCCCTCTATCCCTCTAGCGGTCATAGTCTCTGTCATCTCTTTGTCTTTCCTGAACCCTTACCTTTGAACTACTGTGATATAGACATTCACTGTGGCCCTCTGTTGACTTCCTGTTCCACTTCCTACTTCAGACACCACTTCCTGTTCGTGAGGTCTTGGTTCATGTCCATGGTGCTGCAGGGAGTCAGGGTCATGGGTTGTGATGGGATAAGCTCTGAGCCATGACCTCCTTATCTGTTTGTTTAGTTCCTGTGTCCAGCTCCTCCTTTCCTGTTCTGATCCTGGTATATCAGTAGTGCTATAACTATAACATGTGATATGATTTAGGCTGTTTTTAACAGCAATGTGCTGCGAAAGGGTCCCCAAACTAATGTTGTATGATGAGTAAACTTGCCTAAGGATTTAGCTCGGTAGGCTAATGCACACGCTTGATTCATGATTAGGGTTGAAAATTCTGGTAACTTTCCCAAAAGTCCCAGGTTTTCCCAAAAATTATGTTTGGAAGATTCCAGGAATCAGCAGGAAATCCGGAATCATGCAACCAGAATTTCTGGAAAACCTGGGTATTTTGGGAAAGTTAGCGGAATTTTGTAGCCCTAGTCATGATTTATGTAGTAGACCAAACTTATATGAGTCAGAGAAAAGTTTATGCTGATGCCTGGTGGAACATGTGACAGAAGTGACTCCTTGGAATGTTCTGTAACTTCCTCTCTCCCAGGTTGTCATCGTGTAACATGTTAAAGTGTCTCCCTGTAATATTCAATGGGAGAATCTCAATTGGTTTTGCTCTCCTCCGTCCTCTGGAAACAAATGCGCTTGTATGAAATTAGACTGTCCTTCTCCACTCACGCATCCTCAGGCAAATTATGTTTACAGGTGTGGAATCCCAAAATAAATGTGTAAAGTGATACAAACAAATGTAGCTAGTTTGCAAGAAATGTTTATGGATAAAAGGAATAAGTAGCATGTCCTTTTTAAATGTGTGCATGCTTTTCTCCTTCAAGAAAACAACAGCTGATTCAAAGGGGGTGTGGCATATTGTAAAACACTTCTGTGCTAGACGCTGCAAGGATACTCTTGTGCATCCTCTGTCGAAGTAGGTAATTGAGGAGGGGAGCAGACTCCTTTGTTTGACTACTAACTAATTGACACTCTCCTCGACCACTCAACCACTTATTTGGTTTCCGGATCACAGAAGAGAGGAGGACGGAGAAGTCGAGGAGAGGACAAACTTTTGTCCAATTGAGAATATCACTATGACTTCCTACTTCCTTTCTCCCAGATGTCCTTCTTCCTATTCACAGTGTTCGTGGTGTAACATGTTAAAGTTTCCCCCGGTAACATCCTGTGTCTTCCTCTCTCACAGGTGTCCTTCTTCCTGTTCATAGTGTTTGTGGTCTACACCATGCTGCCGTTCTCCATGAGAGGAGCAGTCCTAGCCAGTATCATCACATGTTTATCACACACAATCACACTCAGTGTGTGTCTGGCGTTTACTGCAGAGGCCTTGGAACCACTGGTGTGGCAGGTAAGGGAACACACACACACACACACACAAACACACACACGGATGCAAACACACACACGGATGCAAAGCACACACACACTCACATTTTATTTTCATAAATCTTTACGATATAACCAATTTTGACTTTGATGCTGGCCCATCTAGCGGAAATCACTCAGTTCTGCCTCCAGGGCAAGACTCGTAAACGCCAACCTGCTTCTATCCAGCGGCTCTCTCTCTTTGTCCCTCTCTCTTTCTCTCTCTCCCCTCGCTCTCTCTCTCCCTCTACTCTGTGTGGGCCCTCAGTATGCTCTTCATTATCAGAATAGAGCTCTCAGTCTAAATGAATAGCTACTCTGAGAGCTGAGGCTAGAGGCTGAGCCTGTGTGCCAAATAGCATCCTATTCTCTATGAGCCCTGGTCAAACGTAGTGCACAACAGAGGGAATAGGATGCAATCTGGGATGCTGCCTAGGAATAAATGAACAGAGCATAATGTCCTACTCTATCGAAGCTAGCTAGGTCAGTGGAGCTACAACAGACCTTAGTGTGTCAGTATGTCTGTGCTGCTGGTCAATGCTAACAATAGTATCACATAGCCAGAAATAAAAGGCTTGGATGTTGCCCACAAAGTCTGTGACATAGGTATGCGTGCAGGTAGGCAGGTACACACACAGGTACACACACAGGTACACATAGCCTCAGCCAATCTCTATCCCTCTCAGGTAAACAAACATGTATGTGTTTGTTTGCATGCTTGCGTGTGCGCACACACACACACACACACCATGGTTTACTGGAAAAACCCTTTACAGGTCTCTGTAAATAAACATGTAATAAACACACGTATTGCCTGGTCTTCTAAAGACCTGTGTCTATTTATATACAGGGCTTTGATGAGCCTGATGTTGACATAGTGGCGAACTAGATGAACAAGATGTGTGTACTAGGGCAGGTTTATGGGGCAATAATGTGTTATTGAGTTGTATAGATGGACTTTGGGTGATTAGATTATAGGAGACTTCATCTGCACTGGCGTCAGACACTGAGTTTATCTTTATGAGTCTCCTCTGTGTGTTTGTTAGAGAGGGGGGGGGAGAGAGAGAGATTTCTATTTCTCTTGATTGAGTCATTCACAGGTGACTCTTTCAGTATTTGATTCAAGTCTCCAATAGCATCTGCCTTCTTTTATACCCCTGCTTTTTTACCAGCTGACCATTGTGAAGTTTCATCATGTCTGTATGAGGCCAATGTACCAGTCAGTTAGGGGGTGTCTCTGATGTGTGATGCCACTGTGACTGCACACACAAAGCAGATGGAATGGTAATGGCAATGTCTGGGTGTGGGTTTGTTAGGTTGGTTGTCTGGTAAAATGTACCAGTCTGTGAATAATAATTTTATTCTAGGAGGTCTAAGGCTATTCTATTCCCTCTCCTCTCCTCTCCTCTCCTCTCCTCTCCTCTCCTCTCCTCTCCTCTCCTCTCCTCTCCTCTCCTCTCCTCTCCTCTCCTCTCCTCTCCTCTCCTCTCCTCTCCTCTCCTCTCCTCTCCTCTCCTCTATCAGATCCTGGCTAACATCATTATCTTTACGTGTGGTAACCTGGCTGGAGCGTACCATAAGCACCTGATGGACCTCGCCCTCAGACAGACCTACCAGGACACCTGCAACTGCATCAAGTCCCCCATCAAACTGGAGTTTGAGAAACACCAGCAGGTAGGCCTGCTTTACAGGGACGTAAACGGTATAGACACACACGCATATACACGCAGGCACGCATATAGAGCGTATAAAGAATGGATTGTGTGTGTGTGAAAAATAGAGCACCAATTGGGTGCCTGAGGCAATTAAAGGTTGAACTTGAGTCTGTGTCCTGTTCGTCATTGTGCCTCTAACCGGGTATCTAGAGCAAACATCCCTGATCTAATCCGGCAACTTAGTTTTGGGATAAGCCGGAGCTCCCCAGTGCTGCAGCCAGTCCAGCAAGCGCCAGAGCTCCAACCTGCTCAACCTGTAGACTGCCAGTCAGCTCTGCAGCCACTGAGCTGGCACCCCAACCGACACAGCCTCTGTCTCTCCTGGTCGACCTGCTGTCACCACACCCGACCACCGTCCTGGTACCAGTGTTTTTTCGAGGACCATTCCAGCACTGACCTGGGCCCATCTCCAGCACCAGCTCTGGGTCCGATGTCCAGCCCTGTCCTGGACCCACTGGCTGACTCATTTCCAATCATGGGTCCGCCATCCACTCCTGTCCCAGGCCCAATGCCATCGGCTTACCCAGCTCCAGCCCTGGGTCCACAACCTTCACCACCCCCTGAGGACACAGCACAGCCAGACCCACAACCAGCACTGGGTCTGAGGCTCAAACCTGCCTTCAGGAGACCAGATGTGGGCCTGCCTCTGGCTCCGGACCTGGATGCACATCCAGCCCTCGTATGAGAGCCTCCAGCTAACCAGTGCTCCTGCCCTGTTCAGGCTGAGGATACCTGGCCTGACTCGGTGGGATGGCCTCCTCCACCAGCTTGGACACCTCCGGCAGCATGCGCACTGACTGCCCTGACTCAAGCTGGGCAGCCCCACAGACACTGTGAGCACCTTGTCCCTCACTGCCTGCTCCCTCCATGCCATGGAACGGGTGGCGACATTGGGCGGCGGGACTCCTGCCTCCTCCAGTGTCTTACAATCACTGGCATTCACGAGGTGGCAACTGGGGACACAGCTGTGCCTGCACAAGAGGGTTTCTTCTGAGTTAAAAATCTACTTCATACATTTTGGTGCAGCTGTAGAAAAACCTCTCTCAAACCCTCTCTCTGGCCCTGGGACATACAGTGAGGGAAAAAAAGTATTTGATCCCCTGCTGATTTTGTACATTTGCCCACTGACAAAGACATGATCAGTCTATAATTTTAATGTTAGGTTTATTTGAACAGTAAGAGACAGAATAACAACAAAAAAATCCAGAAAAACGCATGTCAAAAATGTTATAAATTGATTTGCATTTTAATGAGGGAAATAAGTATTTGACCCCTCTGCAAAACATGACTAAGTATTTGGTGGCAAAACCCTTGTTGGCAATCACAGAGGTCAGACGTTTCTTGTAGTTGGCCACCAGGTTTGCACACATCTCAGGAGGGATTTTGTTCCACTCCTCTTTGCAGATCTTCTCCAAGTCATTAAGGTTTCGAGGCTGACGTTTGGCAACTCGAACCTTCAGCTCCCTCCACAGATTTTCTATGGGATTAAGGTCTGGAGACTGGCTAGGCCACTCCAGGACCTTAATGTGCTTCTTCTTGAGCCACTCCTTTGTTGCCTTGGCCGTGTGTTTTGGGTCATTGTCATGCTGGAATACGCATCCATGACCCATTTTCAATGCCCTGGCTGAGGGAAGGAGGTTCTCACCCAAGATTTGACGGTACATGGCCCCGTCCATCGTCCCTTTGATGTGGTGAAGTTGTCCTGTCCCCTTAGCAGAAAAACACCCCCAAAGCATAATGTTTCCACCTCCATGTTGGACGGTGGGGATGGTGTTCTTGGGGTCATAGGCAGCATTCCTCCTCCTCCAAACACGGCGAGTTGAGTTGATGCCAAAGAGCTCCATTTTGGTCTCATCTGACCACAACACTTTCACCCAGTTCTCCTCTGAATCATTCAGATGTCCATTGGCAAACTTCAGACGGCCCTGTATATGTGCTTTCTTGAGCAGGGGGACCTTGCGGGCGCTGCAGGATTTCAGTCCTTCACGGCGTAGTGTGTTACCAATTGTTTTCTTGGTGACTATGGTCCCAGCTGCCTTGAGATCATTGACAAGATCCTCCCATGTAGTTCTGGGCTGATTCCGTTCTCATGATCATTGCAACTCCACGAGGTGAGATCTTGCATGGAGCCCCAGGCCGAGGGAGATTGACAGTTCTTCAGTGTTTCTTCCATTTGCGAATAATCGCATCAACTGTTGTCACCTTCTCACCAAGCTGCTTGGCGATGGTCTTGTAGCCCATTCCAGCCTTGTGTAGGTCCACAATCCTGTCCCTGACATCCTTGGAGAGCTCTTTGGTCTTGGCCATGGTGGAGAGTTTGGAATCTGATTGATTGATTGCTTCTGTGGACAGGTGTCTTTTATACAGGTAACAAACTGAGATTAGGAGCACTCCCTTTAAGAGTGTGCTCCTAATCTCAGCTCGTTACCTGTATAAAAGACACCTGGGAGCCAGAAATCTTTCTGATTGAGAGGGGGTCAAATACTGATTTTCCTCATTAAAATGAAAATCAATTTATAACATTTTTGACATGCGTTTTTCTGGACTTTTTTGTTGTTATTCTTTCTCTCACTGTTCAAATAAACCTATCATTAAAATTATAGACTGATCATTTCTTTGTCAGTGGGCAAACGTACAAAATCAGCAGGGGATCAAATACTTTTTTCCCTCACTGTAGAGACAAACTTTGGGACTTCTTACAGCTGGGGTAGGCTACCAACCCCCGACTTCAGCCTGAGTCTATTGTCCTGCTGCAGAAGGCCATTTCACACCTGTGTGTTATAGACCAGGTTGCCAGGGAACAGAGTCAGCTGACCTGGTCAGCGAACCAGTGGTCTAGCCTGGGAGCAGCAGAACCACACTCTGCCTCTCAACTTTTCAGCTGTTTCCAGGATGGCAGGTTGAGACAACCTCTATAAACTCCTGTCTTACACCTCAACTCACATCTGGACCCTTTCCACATGGACAATCCTGCCTATGGACATTCCCAACTGGTGTTAGTGCGTCTTTGACAATAAAATCACTCTCCACTGGGGTTCTCTGCCTCTAACCCTGTTGCAGGGGCTGAGTCACTGGCTTGCTGGTGCTCTTTCATGCCGTCCCTGGGAGGGGTGCGTCACTTGAGTGGGTTGAGTTACTGACGTGATCTTCCTGTCTGGGTTGGCGCCCCCCCCTTGGTTTGTGCTGTGGTGGAGACCTCTGTGGGCTATACTCGGCCTTGTCTCAGGATTGTAAGTTGGTGGTTGGGGATATCCCTCTAGTGGTGCGGGGGCTGTGCTTTGGCGGAGTGGGTGGGGTTATATCCTTCCTGTTTGGCCCTGTCCGGGGGTTTCTTCGGATGGGGCCACAGTGTCTCCGGACCGCTCCTGTCTCAGCCTCCAGTATTTATGCTGCAGTAGTTTATGTGTCGGGGGGCTGGGGTTAGTTGGTTATACCTGGAGTACTTCTCCTGTCTTATCCAGTGTCCTGTGTGAATTTAAGTATGCTCTCTCTAATTCTCTCGTTCTCTCTTTCTCTCTGAGAACCTGAGCCCTAGGACCATACGTCAGGACTACCGGGCATGATGACACCTTGCTGTCCCCAGTCCGCCTGGCCTTGCTGCTATTCCAGTTTCAACTGTTCTGCCTGCGGCTACGAAACCCCTACCTGTCCCAGACCTGCTGTTTTCAACTCTTAATGATCGGCTATGAAAAGCCAACTGAGAGACCTGAGCCCTAGGACCATACGTCGGGACTACCGGCCGTGGTGACTCCTTGCTGTCCCCAGTCCGCCTGGCCTTGCTGCTATTCCAGTTTCAACTGTTCTGCCTGCGGTTATGGAACCCCTACCTGTCCCAGACCTGCTGTTTTCAACTCTTAATGATCGGCTATGAAAAGCCAACTGAGATTTATTCCTGATTATTATTTGACCATGCTTGTCACTTATGAACATTTTTGAACATCTTGGCATGGTTCTGTTATAATCTCCACCCGGCACAGCCAGAAGAGGACTGGCCACCCCTCATAGCCTGGTTCCTCTCTAGGTTTCTTCCTAGGTTTTCGCCTTTCTAGGGAGTTTTTCCTAGCCACCGTGCTTCTACACCTGCATTACTAGCTGTTTGGGGTTTTAGGCTGGGTTTCTGTACAGCACTTCGAGATATTAGCTGATGTAAGAAGGGCTATATAAAATAAAATTGATTGATTGATTGACTTACACTATACACTTTCACCATTAATCCTTCCTGTATTGTGTGTGTGTGTCTGTCTTGAGTGTGATATTAAAAGCGTGAATTGTTTCTCTGTCTCCTACTGGTCATTTTACGTCCTCTAACTGGGACACTGGGACAATGTAAACCGGCACCTCTATTGGAGTCCACCACCAGTTGGTGGCGCTCATGTATGGGTGCCTTAGGGGGTGACTCATAAATGCGGCTCAGTAGAGAGTCATTATATCCCTCACACACCACAGGCTAATTTTCCCAAAACATAGAGGCAAATTAACACACACACACTTGCACATACGCACACACACATACACACACATACACACACATACACACGTACACACACACTTTGAGCCCATTTCCTAAAACACAGTGGCAAATTAACTCCAGAAGAGGTTTGGGGATAGGGTGGGGACTGCAGCGGTTGGTGGCTAAAAATAGTCTTTGCTTGTTAACAACCTATCTCTTCCTTCGCACCCTCCCTCCCTCCCTCCCTCGCTCCCCTCCTCTCCCTCTCTTCCCTCCGAATTGAAACAATGTCTGATAGATTTTTTTAAACAAAATCATGCAGCTGTTTTGATGTTGTTTGTGTTTATGACAAAAACTAAAATAATAGTTCCTTCACTTTGAAATCCAGCCATTATTATAAAATGACAGGCGACTTGTCTGGTTTAGACTGGTTCCAGCTTCATTGCTCACTATCTCCCTACCGCACACACGCACTTGCTCACACACGCAAGCACTGCTTGCGCACACACAAACACACACACACACACACACACACAAACACACACACACAAACATACACACACACACAGGGTATCTCTGTCTAGCAGACTCACTTTTCTTTCTGCCTCATTATGTCACTACATAGACCTTAAGGTCACCTTAATGTCACTTCATAAAGGCATAACACCTGGCTGACTCTTACCTACCACCACATCCACTGTTAGTCTTAGAAGCTGGGAATAGAGTAACTAAGTGGTTTTCTGTTTATAAATCACTTAAAATGACCCATTGAACTGGTATCCCAGAGGGCAGGCCAGGGTTGATAAAAATATTATTGTCGTATGTAGATGAAGACTTATAATCAAGTTCATGCCAGCAGAAACTGGAGGAAACGAGAAGAAAACTTCTTAATTAAATTAGATTAAATGATCTGCATTCCTAGAGTTGAGCTGGTACCACATCTAAATGTTTGCTTCCCTTCCCAGCCTGCTGCTGGAGAGATAATTGACCACGTTGTGATGAGTGCTAGTCAGTCTGATTTACACTCACTGCAATCAATGCAAACACACACACACACACACACACACACACACACACACACACACACACACACACACACACACAAGCATACACACACATGCCTGCACATACACACACACGCACATACACACAAGGTTAATTGCAGACTGTGAATCAAGTACATTTCCTGCCATTTAAGGGACTGAATACAGGAAATAGCTTTTAGTAACCTTCCA